ATGATGAATTAGCTGCGTAGCTGATGCCAAAATGGTCATTAGAGCTGAACTTTGTGTCAAAGTGTTCGTCTGTTTTAAGTTCAGGGGGTTTGGGAGGCATCTTAGGGTGTTAACAACATTTTTCCAGACTCAGGTTCTCCATTAGGGCTCTGTGTCCTGCTCATCCACATGAAGTTTCAACCATTCAGAGAAACACTGAGCTTTTGATTTAATCTGGAGGCGTTCGGACACACGATCCTGACTGTGTCTAAAGGGCAAAAGCTGATTAAAATGAACACAAAAGACCATAAGGAGGACAAAATGAAAAACATGAGAACAAAAAGGAACGCTGTTATAATATTGAAATGCTGGACTGCATCTGCAGGAAGGGACAGGACATGCGCCACAGTATTTTATTTGGAAATTTAGCTGAATTTTCATGAATATTTATATGTGTTTATAATTATTTAACATTAAAATACATAAATATAATAAAACAAACAAATAAAAGTAATAAAAAATTGCAGAGGATATTTGCGGTTTCCATGATGTTGCAGGAGTTTCCACAAAGATTTACTAAGAAAAAAATCCATGACAAACTGAGGCTGCGAACTCTCAACTGTGACTTTGTGGGGTCGACTGGCCATGTGCAAGTAACTAACGGGCACTGTAGGACAAAGGAATAATGTCTAAACAGTTATTAAAATCCTAAATTTTTTTTTTATTTTTTTATTTTTTGTGCCACAATTTTGACCCTCCTCATTTATTTAGGCATGTGACTGGCACATGTGACCCAAAAGAGACCTTTAGAGTTATTTTAGTGTCTACATTTATTATAGAGAAAGACAAATTCATATACTATATGTGTATATTTATCAAAGCAGGATCAGCCAGAGGCGGCTTCATGCAATTCAACTGCGGTCTGGACTTGGAGGGGCGAACATCTCTGACTGCCGCTGGGAGGACTGGGTCGACTGGGAGTGCTTTTGGACGGGGAAGGGGCCCACGGCAGAACAACTTTTAGTGTCTAAATGTCCACAACAGATAAAGTTGCTGGATTTGTTGCTTTTATGAAAAAGAGTCACTCGAGGGATTTCAACACTCAAGTTAAGTAATAAAGTGTGTCATGCAAGTGTAGACGTTTGACATGAGCTAACCTAGCGTTCTTTCACACCTGTATGACATTTCAGAGAAATATTTGTTTTATTAGCATGAGCCATTACATAAACGGGACCCCAGTTTGACCCATATTTTATGACCGATGAAAATAAATATTGACGACTATTTCCAAATCGTCTTGGTGTGTTTTCCTCTGCATTTGTTTTGATCCAAGCAAATCTGAGCGATGCGTGCTATCTTACCCAAACAGGTAAGATATTAATCTTTCATAACTCTTGCACACAACCCCACTTTAAATGGGCCGGAATATCCCTTAAAGGTACCTTTGCAGATTTCTGCTGAAGGTGTTGCAGGAGAGGTGGAAGGGTCAGGGTCATCTGGGATTTGACCACCTTAGTGGATCAATTGGAAGCAGGGCAGGAAGGGGTGGCTCACTTGTTGCCATGGAGACAGGAGGACAGTGGCGTTGGATACTGTTGCTAGGCAGGAGTGGCTGCTTGTGAATGAGGGCTGATGTGGTGGGTAAACAACATCAACACCCAGCGGTCCCGTGTCATTTCAGTGGTCCTGCTGTGGAGAACATAGCTTTAGCTCTAATTTTATTAGCCGAACGTGCCTTCAAGTGCACGCATCGTATGATTAAGAAAAAAAAAAAAAAAAAAAAAAACCCAAGAAGGGAATGAGATATTACTTTGGCGTCCGCCCCCAACTAAATTAGTAAAACTTTCTGAATTTACCAGTCTAGTGCGCAACCTAATGGAAAAGACTTAAAGTGCAACAACACATTTATTCGAGTTATGTCTGCGTCATCAAATATGCAAATGAGCACGAGAGGTTTGCTTTTTTTGTGCTTTTACAGCAATACATCGACTTCCTGCCTCATTTTATGACTTACAGGTTAAGCAAAAATAACCAAAACAATGATAAAAATGCTCACCCTGCGGCACAATAGTGCAATTCGCTGGCTATCATGTCAATTGAGGACGTCAAAAGTCGCCACGCGGATGTAAACAAGTCAAACCACGTTCACAGCGCTCTACCGTCACCTTCAGGCCACGTTCAGTACTGCAGCCAAAATAAAAATTGAACTCTGGCGTCCTCTGCTGGCGAACATACATCACTACAGGTTTATTTCAACAGATAGAGGTAATTAGAGCTAAGAGCTGTTGAGAAGTTGTTTGTACTTTATTGTTCTGAAGAGGCAGGTGTTAGTCTGTGAAGGATAATGAACAAATAAACAACTGAAGATCACAGCATATACAAACATAAACATGAAAACAATCTTTGTTAAAGCCTACCTGCTCCAGTAGAAGAAAGGCACACCTCTATGAAGTGCAAAAAGAACAAATGATAATGTATAAAACAGATTTATTGTACATCAACATCAGTCTCTTTCAACAATGGGCGTTTAAGTTGTTCTCTGTGTAGATTGTTCAAGAAGGAGTTTTGAATACAGCATGTTAGTGCTCCTTCACTTCTTCATATTCACAGTGGTGCTTTCAGACCACAGGGAATAATAAAGACAGTCCTCTTCTTTTATATGTCCACACCACAAGATCTGTGTCAGATTAGCTTCTTTTACAGGGCAATTTTTGTAAATTTTCTTAACATAAAGGGAAACATCTGTGACACGGTGGAGTTTAGACACCTTCAGAAATTAATCATTAGATGCAAATTTACAACTCAGTAACTTGTGGATCCAACCCAGTGCAAATTGGTCACCACAGGTAATAAACATGAGTCAACACAAAAAAGACTAGAACTTAGTCAGTTTTACAGCTAGTGAGCCAAACGTGGTATTATCTGAGAGTCATTCTCAACACATACAGCCATTTTTTTATTGTTGTGTCCTCAGAGTTCCTGTCTGTGATGTGAACACAAAAACTTGTGAACTTATCTTTGACGCCTTCCTCTCAGAAGGTTCTTTAAACTGTTGGCTCTCTGGATAAGGACTCCATCAGGATGCATTTGGCATCACAGTCAGCATCATGGTGCTTCTTCAGCACCATGGACAGCGAAAAGTTTCCTTTGTGCCTGCATTATTACAACGCTGATGCTTTAATCATTTGTCACACTTCAAACAAAGATAACATTCATTAGATGCATGCAAAAACTCATACAGCTGCAGCCAATCGCACACGTGAAAAAAACTGTCCTCTCTTTAGTTTTTATTGCACACTTTAATCTTTTAGTAAACAGATCTTCACAGTAACAATGCAAAAGCAGAAAACAGAAGCAAATAACTGTGCAGTGCAGCTTATCAGATCCTCAAAATATGTATATGTATTTACACTGAAAATATATAAAAACAGGAAAAAGAACTAGTGCCCATGGCTTTCCCTGTGTTTGGATGAGACATTTGAACCCTTAACTTCCCTTTAAAGCACTTTTTAAACTTGATTTACACCGTTTGCAGCTCTGCGAGTCCTGGTAATACTGCCAACCCGAACACATTCAAGTACTGCTGTTCTGGCATTGCACAGATACTGGATCAGCAAAAACACAGGAGTCTTTGGAGGAAAACAAAATAAAAAAAAAAATAAAAAAACAGAAAATTGCACTGGTACCACTTGTAAAATCTCCTAAATCAAACAGCTTATTAAAAAAAAAAATCATCTGAACATATAAATATCATTCAAAAGGAATGTTAGTTTCAGCAGGATCCAAACCCCAAAGTGTTCATGAAGATGAATACTGTGTAAAGCTGTTTGTGTAAAGCATCGCAAAACCAAAGCAGGAAATTAAATGTTTGGCAGCCGTGGAATTCTTTTGGTTCACCAATAAATAGTTTCTAAAGAAACAATACAGAAACTAACATATCAACTTGCATAAACTTGAAAATTACATCATAGCACGTCAACCTAACTGCTTCAGGCCTCCTTTTATGAATGCATCATTTAATTAAAAGCAGAGCTTTGTAAATTAACTCGCACATTACGGTAAATGTGGTTTATAGTCCAGCCAATTAGATTTTTGTGAGCGCGTTGCTTGCATCACCACACAAGGTGCAAAACAAACCCCCAGGAGAACTTAGGAAATAAAAAGCAATAACAAGGAATGCAGCGTATAAAAGGGAGAGTTCAGATCTGTGGGCAGTTAATATCTTACCTGTTGTAGATAGCTCTATTTTTGAGTTTGAAGTGGTCTTAGGATGCCAGTAGTCAACTTTGTTCTAGGCTTTGCTAGCTGTTGACTGATCGATGTAGCCAAAATTAAAATTTAATGGTCATATTAATGGATATTTTCACAAACCTTCACTTTAAAAGATCTGAACTGCCCCTTTAAGTAAGGCAAAGTGAGAACACTGTTTGCATTAAGGTGTGGACTCATTCTGATTTATGTTGTTTAGAAGCAGGTTGTAATCAACTGCAGGTCAAAATAAAACCAAAGACCCGAAGGAGGACCTGCTTCCTGTTTACATCATTCTCTCCCGGTTGTTTTCCGGTACGACCTCATCTTTGTAACATTCAGAGAAAATAATAAATCTCAGCGTATTTAACAAATAGGAAGATTCTCAGTCTTCTGAACCTTGTGACAACTGACAAAGCTTAATGTCTGACCAGATGCTGCTCAGCCAGCGTTGCATTTGGTTATAGTTCCTATAATAAAACAAAACAGAACCAAAGTCAAACCCAGCAGAACTTTCTTTCTGTCCCCGACAGACACAAGAAAAATATGGCTGAACCTGACAAATCCAGATTCTCTCTGTGTAAACCCAGTCTCTGGTGGAGTTAGTGGTCTGTTGTTTTTTCATACAAACACAGTTTACAGCAGTTCCTGTGGAGGCAATGATGGCAGTCTTGGAATTCACTGAATTCAGCTTGGTATCAGACGGTTCTGGGTCGAACCCGAACGGGTCAAACAGCCACAGATGTGTGGTCCATGTTTCAGTGTTGTCACGCTGAAAAGTGTGGCCCTCACTACCTGGGGCCTGGACCCCTGTGAGTGGCCGTGTCCCCGACCAGGTCCTCCTCCACCACGTTGACGTAGCCCTCCTTCTCCACGCAGCCTGCCACCACCTGCAGGACGAGCCGCAGCCTGCGGTCCATGGCGCGGAGGTGAGGCTGGATGAGGACCGGGGACAGGCGGTCCCGCAGCAGAGACTCCTCCATCAGGAGGCTCAGCTGGTACTCCTCTTTGGCAAGAAGCTGGAGGCGCAGATACGTGGACCTCCTGATCCTGCAGACAACAAACAGGTGAACAGATGACTTGAAATTAACTTAATTATTTGAGCCAATAGGAATTAAATAAACCAGATTGAATAAACTGAACCTGCTAAAAGCTGATGAATTGAATATGGTCATTCGATCCTCACTTTTCTGACTAGATGTACAAGCATTGCAACACTTATACAATGGACACGCGCAAAATTATACACCGAGGAACTTAGATGAACAAAATGATGATTCGCTGATTCTAGTTTTTATTTATTTTTATCGTAGCCATTAGATGAATTCAAACAGCTGCATTAAAGTTCAGTTTGTGAAACAAACCGTAGGACAGGAGGCCCTACAGCTTGAGAAGCCTTTAAAAACCAAAACTTTGTACCATCTGCTGAGAAGAAAACACGTTTGGACTGTCAGGAACAAACCAAATGAGAAAAATAATAAAAAAAAAAAGACGTCCATTCACCTCTCGTTCATTTTGTTAGGATTAGTGTCGTGGATGAAACAAAACGCTTGTCTAACCTGAATTATACAATCAAGAAGAATAACTTAGAAATGTTACGTCAAATCTTGAACTCTGTTTTTATATTTGAACACGTCACCGACCTCAAATATAATTAAAAGTTGCTTTGATAGTATAAATCAGGCTCCAATGGAGCTTTCTTATGATGTTCTTTCTAAAGTTCACATCTGAACCCTGATGTTCATATCTAGTCTCGGCACCGAGAAACTAACAAATATAACTTATTTCTTCAAATGACGTCAGACACGTAACAAGAATCTGACCTGCAGCACTGGCTGAGAGGCACCAGAATGGACAGCTCGTCGTGGGAGTGTTTTCCAAACCTACACGTGACCAAAGACGGGAAAAAGACATAAATATTCACAATAATAAATGTTTCTTTTTAAGATAGATATCTGATGACATTAATTGTTATCGGTGTTGGACACTTTTTACCAACACTAAACTCTAGCTGGTGGAGCTTTAGTTACACCAGTCCAAATAATGGATGTGTTTACCCCCTCCCGTTGTCAAGGTGAATGATGAAGGTGTCGTTCCCGAACTTCTCAAAAGTTTCATAATGATGGCGGTCCATGTTCCCTGAGCAGGAGGAAGAGAGGAAATACAAGGAATCAGTTTACAGTAGTGCCTCGTTTATCTCATATATATATATGGTAAGGTATTTAAAACCTTTCCCACACTCTTACAATATTTTAAACAATGTTTCTAAACGCTAAACGCTCTAAAAGAGCGCAGCATGTCATGATCTCTGCTCTCGGCCACGCCCACTTCTCTGCTGCAGTCACTGGCAGGTGGCAGAGAGCGGAGATCATGACACGCTGCAGGAGGGAGCTTCTCCCTGCACCTGTGGGCTGCACACAGGTGCAGCAGGTGCTAAATCGTTTAAAATAATTTATTTTAAATAAAACAATCCATGACGCTCGTGCGGCTCATCCATCATTCAGCCAATTGTGTCAAGTCCAATCTTACTTTGAAAAAAAACGCGAAAGAGCGAGTCCGCGAAAGTCAAACCGCGAAGTAGTGAGGGATTAATGTACTCCGAATTATTAGAAGGATTAATTTTTTTTTTTTTAAGTCGTGTGTCAGTTTCTTCTTACCCATCAGGAAATCAAATACGGTCATGTCCATGACGTCCAGCAGCCGAGAGCCGCGGTCGTACGGAGGCGTCTGCTTCACCTCGTCGCAGTAATCTGGATCCACCTCCCACCTGAGAATATCCAACAGCGCAGGTGGATTAGGTAAAAACAAACATGTATTCCAGGATTCAGAGGCTTCTTCTCGACATCCTTACTCTGCCTTTTTCCTCTTGTGATAGGAGCGTCTCCAGGGGTTCCTCCAGGTCTTCCGTTTAGCCAGGTTCAGGTCGGGCAGGAAGGCGGCCAGCGAGCCTTCGATCTGGTCTGGTTTACCACACAGAGCGTGCTCGGTGGAGCAGTAGTAGGAGCATTCACCGTAGAAGCAGACGTTGTTGGCTAAAGAGCGAAAGAGAGCAGACAAATACTGAGGAAACGCAAGCGGAAATACATATTATGAAATAATGTGTGCCTAAATAAAATACCGTCCTTAATATAAGGAAATGAGAGAAACCAGCAAAAAGTAGAGGGAAACAGAGGAAGGATCTGATTTATGTACAAAAACTTTAGGGCCTAGTATTACTGTAAGGATGCTGAAAGGGGACAGAGTAAAAAAAAGGAAGTTTTTGTGAAGCTGTAAATGTCTTTACGTACGATCTCCTGCTGTATTTTGAGATCTTGCAAAACGTGAAAGTGCTCAGAGAACGCGTTGCACCAGATACACCTAATTTTAGATCAGTATCTGTAAAAAGTCACTGATTTATAGCTGTTTTATGTTTGCAAGGCTGTGACGGCCATCTTGAATTGGATTTGGTCTGAAAGTTAAACAGTTGCAGATGCACATCCAATAACTATTTTCTGAAAGTTTCAATAAAATGTGTTTGCTGGTTCATGAGCTATTTTGCTAACAGACAGTGATAATTGAATCCAAATAGTTAATGGGGAAAAAAAAAACTAAACAAATGTCTTACACAGTCGGTAAAAGTTCATGTTTTGCATTGAGAATGAGTCTCAGCTACTAACACAGAAAATGTTAGATCAATATCTGTAAAATTCACAGATTTATCCATTTTAAAACTGTTTTTAATATAAGTTAGCTGCGGCGACCATCTTTAAATGAGTTGACTCCAAATGTCAATCAGTTGCAGATCTACATCCGGTGAATACTTCCTGAAATATTCAATCAAATCCACCTCTTGGTTCATGAGCCATTTCACTAACAGACACGAGATAAACATGGTCATTTTTCAAAGTAAAATTATCGACCATTTCCTGTTGAAAAGCAAAGTACACGAAAGTGAGTCGTTTATTTCTCTATCACTCACTGAGCTCTTAAACAGTTAAACAGAAAAATGTTAATTTATGAGTGTTCTGTAATATGATTTGGCTAAATTAAAGAAAAAACTAAAACAAGGACTGAACTGTGGGAAAAATGTAAACAGTCCCATCTGTTTCCCAATTTGTGTTCTATTAGCTGAAATGCCTGCAGCGTGAAATGGGCTTGAAGGAAATTATGTCCAAATGAAATAAAAACATAAATATTTGTATTTTCAGCCTCACTGAATGTGTTCAGGTGTTCAAACAGTCTGGTCCAGCCCCAGTACTGCTGCTGCAGAAGGGTTGGTCTGAGTCATGTGTCTGCCTGTTAGTAAAATATCTCATGAACCACTGGACACTTTTGAATAAAGCATTCAGGAAGTCATAACTAAATAAACATTTTCAGCTGAAAATGCAGTTTGTGTTACTTTATTTTTTTTTATTATATCACCCAGTCAGCCCATCCTCTTCACCTCCTTTGAACTCTTTGCTCGGAGCAGTTAAATGAAATAGTCTCTGTGCCGAGCTGCAGGAGTCTCTACCTGGTGAGATGAAAAAGGTCCTCCACAGCTTCTTGTCCCGGGTCATGTCTCGGATCTCACTCGTCATGTTGACGAGTCGTCCCGCCACCGGGGGGACTCTCCGAAAGTCAAGAATCCTAAAAAGACACGAACAAGGACAGTTGAAGGGATCATTCAGGGTTTGAAACAACAAATGTTGGTTTGACAAGGGAAGTATTTACCATTTCCCCCTCATTAAGTCATTTTAAATGGCACTGTACTGCAATCTAATCCCATGCAGTTTGGTTCTGCTTCATGATGTTTGCATCACAACTGAAATAAGACACCAGGATGATAGTTCTGTTCAGAAAAACAATCCTGGGTGATTTCAAATCCAACATGTCACGGCGTGATTGAATCCGTTTGGTTTCAGCTCACAGGCAGCATTAATAATTCCTCATGTTTACATTGTTCCTGTCTGCTGCTGATGGGACATCAGGCTGGACGCAGACGAAAGACAAATCCAGCAACATTTACTGAAACTCTGCATTTACATGACATTTAATCTGCACTCTCCGTTTTACAAGGAAAAAAGCAGTAAGCTGATGTCCCCCATCGCTGAGGGATTTGAGTAGTGAACGTTTGCAGTTTTCAAGATGAGTGTTTTTGGGCTGGAGTTGAACATGAAATGCGAGTGAACCTTAATGTTTTTAGAGCAAGGAAACTATGTGGGTAGGAGTTACACTGTGTAAAGGAACAGAGGAAGTTTTTTCTCATTTTGCTTGTTTGAAGTGGCACAGACTGACGGATACTGGTGAGAAGAGGGAGCAATTTTACCCTCATCCAGGCACAAAGGTGGAGCTAGGGGGTGGCCAGTGGTGGCTTTGGCCACCTTAGATTAATCTTTGGCCACCTGACCGGTCACCCCATCCATTTGAGAAAACTATACTTTTAAGCTATATAAAAACTAGAAAGCATAGTTTCCTCAAATGATCAGGGTGCCCGGTTTATGTATATTTATATGGTGGTGGCCTTCTTGGATTTTGACATAGCAACCTAATTTTGGATAGTGATCATTTTAATGCCTAGACTCAGCCACATACCAAAATGGAAGTATGTAGCTCACTTGATTTTCAAGTTATCATGCTCACAAGACTTTACAGATGGAAGATCCAAGCCCCCTCTTCACTCCACGACAGGGGACAATAATAACTGGTTTTACAATTGATTAATTCTTGTAGTCAGCCTGAGTCAAGATGGTCGGTACAGCTAATCAATTTTAGCAAACACAAAAATGTCTATAACAGTTATTACCCACAAGCTATCAGATTATTGAATAGTTGACAATAACATTGTACTAAACCAGTGGTACCCAATCGTGGTCCCTGAGGAACACCATCCTGCATATTTCAATGGTTTCTCCACTCCAACACGCCTGATTCAGTGATTTAATTATTTCCTTAATTTCTGCAGAAGCTGGTTAATCACCCATTTATTAAAATCAGGTGTGTCAAAGCAAGGAACCAAGTAAAACATTAAGGATGGTGTTCCTCAGGGATCACGATTGGGAACCACTGCACTAAGCCAAATCTGTGACACCTAAAATGTTTATTGCTGCTGCACTGTGGTTGTATCATGTATGTCACTACCTTACCATCATAATTCAGTTCATCTCAATGTTACTCACTACCTGTGCAATAACCTGTCACACAACCTGTGTAGTATATGTTATGTGCATTATATAGCATGTACATTTAAGCTAATATTACTACCTGTGAAATACTTATTTATACTAATTCATCCCACATGTTCTCGCTTATTATATTTCTTTTGGACCTTGTAAATATTATATTTATTTTTCACTTTTTGGTACTTTATTTTGT